TTGTTGATAAGAAATTAACAAATTAAATGTTGTGGTAATAAAACATTAAATCAATAAAAAAATTACGCAAATAATTCCATTTCAAAAATAAAAAATTGAAATTCTTGTGTTTGGTTGGTTTTTTAATATTTGTCGCATAAAGAGACTTTTGCCAATTAAAAAAAATCAAAAACTAACGCAGAATGAATACAGGGTGACACACACGACAGAGCTTTCAAAAAACACATTTATTTTTTTGAAAATTTATTTTTGTAATGATCATGTTTCGTTTCGTATGAGATGCTTTGATTTGCAGAATTTTCAATATTTTTTAGGAAAAAATAAAGGTAATATTTAAAAAGTGGCTTACAGGACCTTAAAGAAAACCTAAATAAATCATGTCTCCATATCATTTAATTATACAGGGTGACACACCTAAAACTTTCCACCCTGAATATCTTGCTTCCAGTAAATAATGTAAAAAATCTGATGTGTCCAACACATGACTTTCCTATCTAGTTATTATAGGCTTTTTCCTGTTATTTTGTACAACCTATTGCAGCACCTCCATAAATGTTTAGAGGATAAACTAAATATATACATTTTCCACATACATCTAACTCGAAACATTTTTCTATTGATATTCATTAAAAAATGAAAATACTGAAAAATTTAAATTTAGCACTTTTCCTCCAACTTTTCCATTACGGTCCATTTTAGAACAATCATGTATAAACAAAAATTATAGAGATAGACTTTCAGTTTAACAATTTTCTTAAAAATCAGAATTTGGCACACTTTGTCAAATTTCTCGAATACGGACCATTTTAGGAAAATTTTGTATAGAACAAAAATTATAGATAATAATATTAGAAGTAACTTTTATTTGAACAATTTTCTTCTCCAAACATAAATAACAGATATATTCCATAAAATATAAAAACGGCCTCCCATAAAGTACCCCCCCAGATGTTCCGACTTTGTCCAAAATCTAATCATTTCACCTCAGGCAGAAATAAAACTTAAGTTTAAAATTTAATGTTTTTTTCCTTTATCCGTTTTTGAGTTTTCTTCAAAATTCGTAATTTACATATTTTCTCAAATATCTCGAATACGGTCCATTTTAGAGAAATTATGTATAGGATAAAAATTATAGAGAATTATATTACAAACAACTTTATTTGAACAATTTTTATAAAAAAATTATTTTTTTTACATTTTGTCAAATTTCTCGAATACGGACCATTTTAGGAAAATTTTATATACAACAAAAATTATAGATAGTAATATTTTAAGTAACTTTTATTTGAAGAATTTTCTTGTCCAAACCTAAATAACAGATATATTTCATAAAATATAAAAATGACCACCTATAAAGTACCCCTCCAGATGTTCCGACTCTGCCAAAACTCTAATCATTTCACTGGAGGCCGGAATAAAGCTTAAGTTTAAAATTTGGTGTTTTTCTTTGTATCCGTTCATGAGTTATTGAGGATACAGACACACACACACAGACATCATCGCGAAAATAGTCAAAACGGATTCAGGGGACCCCAAAACGTAAAAAACCGTCGAAAACTCGAGGTCGAAAAAAAAATCATGATTCCTATCGCAAAAACCTGTCAATTTTATTTTTTAAGGGATACACCTACAATGAATACTTTTAACACTCGTGGCTCAATCTCCTAGGAGGAGTAATGTTATCCTTATAATCCTAAATGGGTAAGAGTGGTACATCATTTTAGAGGGCATTTAATTTTCTTTCCAATGAAACCCTAATTTCAAAGTTACAGAAATTGGAACGTACTTATACTGAGATTCTTTGTTTTCAGTTTAGTATTTATACAAAAATTATTCTATCGATTTGAATAACAAGAGGAATATCAAGTCTACACGTTTGATTTTTTATTTTTTTGGTTATGTGACTTTTACAAAAATAACTTTTAATTTGTACAAGAACTTTTTGTACACTATTTTAAAACTGTTTCCAAATATTGTCCATTTGTTACGGGTTTATTGCATAATAAGATTTGATTTATTAAAATAACGATTTGTAGTAAAAGACCAGATTTTTTAAAAGAACAAATGTACTTACGACTATCAAGATGTGATGAATAATCCAAATTAATTTTCTTAGCAGTTCATTTAAAACATAAATAAAATAATTTAATCATCAGACGTCATTTAATAATAATAAAAACATTCTAAGTATGGTTATGTTTACATAAATAGTTTTAATGTATAGGGAACAGATCACTTGAATATTCTTCTTTTACCATTTACCAGTACTGCCTTTAATGCTGCTAAGCCCTTCATTTAAGTGGCTGCTTAACTGCTAGGATATGGGTCTTTATTTCTTCCATAATTTCTCTAGAGTGTTTATCTCTCTCTCTCTCGTTTTCTCTCTCTTGTTCCTGTTTCTTTTCCTGGCTAACCTAGAGACGTGCACGTGGTGCAACTCCGAATTTTCCGGATTTAATTAGTCTGAAAAGAATAAATTATTATTAGGATTAGTTACTTATATATCTAAGAAGATATATACACACTTTTGTGGATTATATTTTCCTAAATAATTTTAAAATAAACCTATGAGGCCCAACTCCAACAGTGGTAAGTTATAGACAGAAATACATGTTTAAAATAAAATCATTAGTAATATATAGTATAAATGCTTTTTTTTACCCAAGCTAACTGTACCTAATTATATTTTAGGCCTTTTTAGAATACCTCCCTCAGCTTTTGCTTACCTAGCAATCTAAGCTATATCTCCCGCTGCTTCGAGCTAAGTAGATAGCTAAAGAGTAGCTATTAGAATACAGCTACCCCTACTCGCTTCCTGGTCCCGGTAAAATAACATATATGCATTCTATAGGCTGCTAAAGTGCCTGAAGATGGTTAAGTTACTTACCAGTTCAATTTAGAACCATTTAGAAAACCTGAAGTGTTCCTCTTCATAACAAGTAAGATTAGTTTAGTTTTTCAAGCATCCTGTCGGTGGTACCCATTAAACCAATTAAAGGAATCAACTGGAGAAGTAAAAACATACTGTAAACAAATTATAATTTATTATTTGAGTAATATTTATATGCAGTATTCATTACTGTAAACCACAGTTAGTACTAACCTTGGGTAATCGATTGAATGCTAATTGAATTTTATACCATTTGATGATCTTGATATTGTCCAACATAACTACAGATATTTTGTCTAATTAAAATATATTCCTGAAATAACTCTTCTCAGTACGAATTTGTTTATTTGATTGTAACCTATCAATTAGCCGGGTAATTTAGGAAATAGTAAAGAACCTACACTGTTAACCCTCCCTGTCTTTAACCAAGGGGTTAATGAGAAGAAAAGGGCTAACACATTGTTCTGTAATACTTTGCAATAAAATGTTAATTTTAAAAAGATAAGAAATTTTGACAACAAATATTACTTGCCTTCAATCAAATAAAAAAATAAGAAATTAACACATTGATCATATCGAGGGTCACAGTGCAGGACTTCGTAAGTTTTTATTTTGCATTTTAGTTATTTACAGTCAATATGAACAGAACAACATTTGCTATTTACCCAAAATAATTTAAACTAATTAATTTGGACAATAATATATTGATATTTAGGCTCTTAGTAATAATCCCCAAGTATAAAATGGAAAAATTTATGAAAAATGGTGTTTTTATAATTTTTCTTAAAATCATGTAAAAAATATACGAGGTACTGCACTGTGGCCCTCGATATGGTTTTCTCAGTCGTGAATTCAGCTTTTCTAATAGACACTTTTAGGAAAATAGTTTCAAGGAAACAAAGGGCGCCAATATTTCTCTTTTTTTTTTTATTTTTAGAATGGTATTTCAAGCTTTAAAAAAATATAAATAACAAAAAAGGCAGGCTATCTGTGGAATTTGATAAATGCAGTCCAATTGCCATAGAAATTTTATTATTAAATTACTTTAAAATGTAAAAGTTTGGTGCCACTTAATCTTCTAACCATTTCTGCTAAAATGACACCCAAAATAATAATTAATGTTTAAATACTAACATAAGAACCGAAAATCTCAGTGCAGACATGTTCCAACTTCTGTAACTTTCAAATTATGGCTTGCTTTTGCTGCAGGATGCGGACAAAATTGTTTTATCCAGCTCTTCTTCAGGTGGCTCGTAGATGCATCCTTATAGCTTATCCCAGACAGAATTGCTGTCTAATTTTTTCACTTAACAGGGTGTTATCTCGGAAGAGGTACTGGATCGTGGCCTTTTCTCATCACTTGTAGAGACAGAACTAGAGTCGCTAGGTTTGGAGTGAGGGCGTATCCTGCCTGTCCTTTAACCTTATTCCTCCTCTTTGCTGCAAAACCAAAGATCCTCTTGCCTCTCTGGTGAGCATTGACGTTTTGCTTCCTTGGATTGTTGTTTGTGTGTATCCACATGGTTCTCAAAAGTAGCTATGGAAAGAAAAGTCGACCGACGCAAAGCACTGAATGCGTCGCAAGGCTAGTTACAAGAGTATGTCGCTAGGTACCCCTAGGGGAGCTTTAGCTGAACGTTTACCCCTATGAAAATTCAATCGTTGGCACGTTACCTTACAACTTAGATTGAGAGAGTTGGTCCACGATGGTAGGCTTCGCAAAAGATTTTGAGTTTTTAAAATCTCTCAGTCTACCTATGTTTACCACTAACTAGGAAATCCTGGCCGTTATCCTATTTGGAGACGCGACCAATTGGAACTCATCCGCTGGGTAGTGAACCAGTAGTTGATAATACCGAAAGAGTATGTAGTGGTGTTGCATACGACTTGATGGTTTTGACTATGCTGTTTAAATTTAATTTGAAGCACGTTTTGTATTGGTCAGTAATTGTTTTGTCTTTGTGGTGAATTTTAAGGTTTTGGATGAATTCGAGATATTTGTAAACACAAACAGATGAAAAATCTGTTATAATAAAAACCAAATAAAACATCAATGTCGAAATACTATTATGTAAATCAATATTTTTTATTTTATGCATGTAAATATTAGGTTCAATGGTCAAGCTGCAACATATTTAGTACCCAAGATCATGCTGCTGCAGCAATCGCGAGCAGAGGTATTCCAGTTTATGCTTGGAAAGGAGAAACTGATGAAGAATATGTTTGGTGTATTGAGCAGACTCTTCTCTTCTCCGACGGAAAACCTTTTAATATGATATTAGACGACGGAGGAGATCTCACTAACCTAGTACACACCAAATATCCTCAATACTTAACAGAATGCAAAGGAATAAGTGAAGAAACGACCACAGGGGTTCATAATTTGTACAAAATGTTTAAAGATGGAACTCTTAAGGTGCCTGCTATTAATGTAAATGATTCTGTTACAAAGGTAAGATTTTGTATTAATTTATAAAAAATATGTAATTTAATTTAATTAGAAATCTCACTTGTGGTTTGACTGTAAGTCTTCTACCATTCTGATTTGTACCAGTATTCCTGTAACCCCTTATGATTACAAGAAGTAGACTTTGAACAAAGACTAGATTTTCTGTTGAGGCAGACTGAGTTTGAAGTCTAGGGAGTCCAATTATAATGGACTCTGTCCAATCTCTAATGAACTGTCTAACCATTAACAATTTTTTAAATTAGTTTTACCAAGCATAAATAACTCTTGGCATTATAAGATATTATCAGTTTATTATTTATTTTTATGTCCCACATGCAAACCCAAAAAAAATTTACTACATTCAATACATAGATGTTTATAAGGGTTTCATTATAAATAATCTTCATAAAAATTGTTTATAAGAATGTTGCTTTCAATATCTATAAAGCGATCTTCTGAAAACCATGCTGTAGTACTAGCTTCCTTTGTGACTCTCAAGTTACCTTTTTTTCCCTGTCAACCAGATCTGATGTTTCACCAATTGAATATGTATGGGACATGATAGGTAGAAGATTGGATCAACTTCCTGGCTTGATAATGGATTTGCATCGCCTAAGACATGAAATCCAAGTTGCTTGGACTCAATTCCTCAATATGACATTGATCACCTTGTTCCAGTGGTTTCCAAACTGGAAGGCGCGAAGCAACATTAAGGGAGGCGCGGGATTTATTATTACAACTTTTTAAGTTTACAATATTTTTTTAAGTTTAAGTTTACAATATTTTTTTAAATAAATAAGTAAAAGTAGTTTCTTCTATAATCGGGGACTAAGTTACCATGTGACACATAGGGAATTCAATGTGTAAGAGTGAGAGGTACAGATTCAATGGGTAAGAGTGAGACATACTTTCTGAGGGTAAAACGGAGGAGTGGGGGATTAAATTTCTATTAATGTCGAACAGAAAAATCATGCGCAGAACGAAAGCCAGAAGGGCCTAAAACATATCTTTGTTATTGTTGGTCCGATTCAAACGGAAAAAACGGAATTATGTAGAAAACGTGGTATAGATTAACGTCAAACAGAAAAATCATGCGCAGAACGAAAAGCCAGAAGGACCTTAGCGTGTTTCTCGGATATTACTAGTTCGATTCTAACGGGAAAAACGGTATTACTTAGAGAACGCGGTATAGAAGAGAACGTTGAAGAGAAAAATCATGTGCAGAACGAAAGCCAGAAGCTTAAGCTTCAATTTCCATTATTTCTAGTCCGATTTAAAGCACATCGTTAACAACAGAGTGTATTTAGATATTGTTAATGATATTCTCGAAAAGCACGTCGCAATATATAATACAGGGTGCCCCAAAAATGAAGTATACACAAAAAACACGTCGTTAATAACAAAGTTTATTCAAATATTGTTAACGAGGTGCTCTTCGAGCACGTCGCAATTTATAATACAGTGTGTCCAAAATAAACTCAAAAAGAACTGCTTGAATTACACTGTATTATGTATTGCGACGTGCTCTTCGAGCACGTCGTTAACAACAAAATGTATTTAGATATTGTTAACGACGTGCTCTTCGAGCACGTCGCAATATATAATACAGGGTGCCCCAAAAGTAAATTACACAAAAAACGCCGTTAATAGCTAAATTTATTGAAATATTGTTGAGCACGTCACAATGCATTACAGTGTACCCCAAAAATAAATTACACCCAAAAAGCTGTTTAGAATACACTGTATTATGTATTGCGACGTGCTCTTTGAGCACGTCGTTAACAACAGTGTGTATTTGGATATTGTTAATGATATTCTCGAAAAGCACGTCGCAATATATAATACAGGGTGCTCCAAAAATGAAGTACACACAAAAAACACGTCGTTAATAACAAAGTTTATTCAAATATTGTTAACGAGGTGTTCTTCGAGCACGTCGCAATTTATAATACAGTGTGTCCAAAAAAATACACTCAAAAAGAACTGCTTGAATTACACTGTATTATGTATACGTGGCATAGATAAACGTTGAAGAGAAAAATCATGCGCAGAACGAAAGCCAAGAGGACCTAAGTATGTTTTTTGGTTATGACTAGTCCGATTCAGAAGGGAAAAACGGCATTAAATTGAGGACGCGGTATAGATTAACGTCGAACAGAAAAATCATGCGCAGAACGAAAAGGCAGAAGCGCCTTAGCGTGTTTCTCGGATATTACCAGTCCGATTCAAACAGGAAAAACGGTATTACATCAAGAACGCGGTATAGATGAACGTTGAAGAGAAAAATCATGCGCAGAACGAAAAGCCAGAAGGGCCTTAGCGTGTTTCTCAGATCTTACTAGTCCGATTCAAACGGGAAAAACGTGATTATGTAGAGAACGATGAACGTTAAAGAGGAAAATCGACGTCTCCTTTGTAGGGATGTTGCGATACTACTGATATGATAGTGGTATCGCTACTTTTCTTTCGATATCGGGTAATTTAGTATCCGATACTTTGCTTTCGATACTTTACTTATATGGGTACTACTTTTCGTTCGATACTATTACTTTCGTTTCAACATTTTACTAGTTTTGATTTAAAATTAGGATCACTTTATGGTATGGTTGACGGCGGACCCTATGACCTTTTTTTTTGGTTGATCTACACTTTTTCCGATATCGGTATCGATACTTTTGTTCCGATACTCTTTTCGATACCAGTATCGATACTTTGGTTCCGATACACTTTTCGATACTTTACTGGTATCGTAACATCCCTACTCGTTTGATGTTTGACGTTTTCGTTTGATAAAGATATAAGTTTTAGGCCCTTCTGGCTTTTGTTCTGTGCATGATTTTTCTGTTCGGCATTAATAAATTCATTCCCCCACTTTTCCGTTTTACCTTCAGACCGTATGTCTTACTCTTATACATTGAATTTGTACCTCTTACTCTTACATTTTGAATTCCTTGTGTCACTGTGGTAACGTAGTCTATTTATTCCCCATAGAAAAAGGTTTGATAGGGGACATGAATAAAATTGTCAGGCAAAGCGTAAGAAAATTATTTTGAAACTGGTAATTTAATGTAGTACGCAAGCCTTAATAAACTTGGTCGAGGGTTGATAATAAAGTCCCACAGATTAAATATCCACTCAGGATTATTTAAATAAATCAGGATTTACTGTAGAATTAGTTTTATTGAATTAGCAACACAGTGGGCTTCACACAGAACAATGAATAATAAAAAAATGTCAACTGTCATATATTATTGTACAGTACCAACTTAAAATATTAAATATTAGTTAGGCATTTTATAGAGGTTCTAACGTTATGTTTAATAGGTGTTGCATTTTCAATGTCACAGTAAATCAAATAGCAGCAAATAAGGAGTAAGCTTCTCCAAACTGTACCTTTGATTATTTATTTCGTTTTTTATCTTTTCCAGAGCAAATTCGATAACTTATATGGTTGTAGAGAATCGCTTATTGATGGAATTAAACGCGCCACCGATGTCATGCTTGCCGGTAAAGTATGTGTAGTAGCCGGTTACGGTGATGTAGGAAAGGGGTGTGCTCAATCTTTAAGAGCATTCGGAGGAAGAGTTTTAATCACCGAAATTGATCCCATTATTGCTCTACAAGCTGCAATGGAAGGTAATTCATTTAGTAAAAATTAACACGATATATTAACTATAAATATTTATTTGTAGGTTATGAAGTTACTACAATGAACGAAGCCTCTAAAGAAGGTCAAATCTTCGTAACGACTACTGGATGTAAAGATATCATCCAAAGTGCACATTTCCTCAACATGAGAGATGACAGCATTGTTTGTAACATCGGTCATTTCGACTGTGAAATTGATGTTGCCTGGCTAGAGAAGAACGCTAAAGAAAAAATAACAATTAAACCACAAGTCGACCGTTACCTCCTTGCAAACGGCAATCATATTATAATTCTAGCAGAAGGTCGTTTGGTGAACTTAGGATGCGCCACTGGTCATTCATCGTTCGTTATGTCGAATTCGTTCACAAACCAAGTTTTGGCACAAATAGAACTTTGGACAAAACCTGGAGCTTACACAATTGGAGTGCATATGTTGCCCAAGCATTTAGATGAAGAAGTTGCGAGATTACATTTGAAGCATTTAGGTGTAAAATTGACAACGTTGACGCCTGAACAATCTGAATATTTGGGTGTTCCTGTAGCAGGGCCTTACAAACCAGATCACTACAGATACTAATTTTTATACATTTTAACATTGTTTTATATTAAGGAGAAAACCAAGTAACGATCTGTAATAAATCACATATAAAGTTAAATTATACTTTTGATTGTTTAAATATTCCTTAGCCTTCTATATTTCGAGATTCAACAACCCTGGTACTTGCCACATCTCAACAGATGTCTATTGTAAAGTTTGACATTTTTAGTCTAGGGAAGGTAGGAAAAATAGTGGAAATTTTTAGGGACAGCAGATATCGAGATGCGGTTTTCTGCATTGTGTTCAGGAAGGTTGTTACAGGAAATTAATTTTAAATTTATTTTTAACAACAACTTCTCTATAACTCCTCGTAACACAATTGCTCTCTTCGCTTCGATTTTTACAAAGCACCGTTTGCACACGAAATAAAACGTCATAAAACCGATTCGTTTGAAATCAATCGCTCGTTTTGAGGTATCGAGTTCAATGTGTAGTATGTACCGATAAATGTGCCTACTATGAGTAGTTTTCCCGAATTCTATTGTCTTTTTGTGTTTATTGTGTGTTAACGTTGGGATAACTGTCAGGTAATGTTTCTATCGCCTTATATTATTCACATTTTGCTGGATTTCGTTTATTACTACCATGCCGACGAATGCCGGTTTCTTATTACTGCTTCATTTTATATAGATTGTAGCTACCCTAATTAATAATACTTTTAAGCTCTCTTATATATATTGACCTTATAAATAGCTTATATTTTGTTCAGATGATGTAAAACTTGTTGTTATAACTAATATTTTCAAGGTTAAAATAGTAGATATTCGTTTATATTAAAAAGATTCATCGATTTTCAAGTATAATCAAAGACATTTACTAGTATTAATTTATAAATAATATTTTATTTGTCTTCGCTTCACAAATGGCTTTCTCTGCTGTTGCAATAGCATGGATGCATGTTTGAATGTTTTTTTTTTCTTTTTAAACTTCTCCAGAATCGATAAAATTCAATTTGTTATTTTTAATTTAAATATTATCTTTAGGTTGGTTCAGTATTTTTATCTAAGTAGTTATATCGTATTAGATACAATTGAATATTCTTATTTAAAAGAAAAAAATGTTTAATCGAGAAAAGTCCTATTATCCTAATGTATATTAAGAGTTTCGTGGTTTTTTTTATTATAGTTAAGCTCTCTGTGCTTTTGCAATGGCATATGTAGATGCATAAAAGTTTAATTTATTTTTACGTATTAAATAATTTTAATGTTTCTTGAGTTGGTTTAGTATTCTTTCTCTATTTAAGTATACAAGTAGTCGATTAACTGAATTAAGTTAAGCAATAATTTTATTAAAAAAAAAAATATGTAATTTTAAATGATAAGTTTATTTACCAAGGATATGTGATGTAATAATTTCATGGGAGCTGAGCAGGTCGCAATATTCATTAATTTGGGTATATTTCTATGAATTCGTTACATATATATTACCAAAATTGCCGTGGACTCAATGGAAAACTTACAGAATTTTATTATAATACTGCGGATTGTCATTATGATATATTGTTGGTAACTGAGACGTGGCTAAAGGATAACGTAGGGGAAGGAGAGTTAATTGATTTAAATAACTATAATGTGGTCAGAGCTGACCGCGATTTTAACTACACAGGTAAAAGTAAAGGTGGTGGAATTTTGATGTGTATTAATAAAAATAAAATTAAAGTTTTAAATGTCAATTCAATATCAAAAAATTACGAAATGCTTATCGTAGACATTAAAGTTAATAATTCTAGTAATTGTGTAATAGTCTTAGTGTATATACCGCCAGACAACAAAATTGATTCTTATAATAGAATGTTTGATACTTTGCAGGAGCATATATTAAATAAAAATGCATATATATTCGGAGACTTTAATATTCCTCAAATATCGGGTAATAATATAAATTCATTAAATATTAAAAATCCCAAAATAATTGCAATATCGGAATTTGTATCTGTCACTTCTATGACCCAAAAAAATACTGTTCAAAATAACAGAGGGGAAATGCTAGATCTGGTTATGTCATCAGATTCCACTAAGGTCGTTGTTGAAAAGTGTCACCAAGCTTTAGTGAAAGAGGACAGTGAGTACCATCCGGCTTTAGAAATATACGTTGAGATCAATAAAGATGTATGTAAAAAATGCTGTGACAATAGGGATTTAAGTAACAAGTTCAATTTTAAAAAAGCCAATTTTGAATTATTAGTAGAAAAACTGAGGGAAGCTAACTGGGGTAATGTCTTAGCTCAAAAAGATGTAAATAGGGCAACAGAATTTTTTTATGAAACATTAAATAATATTTTTGATATATGTGTTGTCAAATTTAAAAATAAAAGACCTAGAAGGAGTTATCCTGCATGGTTTACGATGGAGCTAAAACAATTGCTTGGTGAAAAAGAGAAATTCAGAAAACTAAAGATGGTATCAAATGAATATGCAACTAGATACATAGAGATTAGAAATAAAATTAAAAAACTAACCAAAACCGAACATGCAAATTACATAAATAAAATAGAAAGCAACATAGCAACCGATATAAATAGTTTTTGGTCTTACATAAATAAGAAAAGGCGGAAAAATAATTCAAATAGTGATCAATTTCACCTTAATAACAATTATAATTTATCAAGTACTCAACCTGCACAAAATTTTGCTAATTATTTTCAAAGCGTTTACAATAATATAAAAAGTAATTACAATATTATAAGTGATAGTAATAGTGCTTTAGATGTTTTTATTTTAAATCCAGTGACTCAAAAAGATTACAAGAATGCAATAAAAAAGTTAAAACCTAAAAAATCAGCCGGGGTTGATGAGCTCCCTCCTTACATATTGAAAGGTTGCGCAGAGTGGTTAGGAATTCCTTTGCTGCATATTTTTAATTTAGCCATTAAATCGGAAACATTTCCAAAAAAATGGAAAACTGCAAAATGTATCCCCATTTACAAATCAGAAGATAAAACTAATATCTCAAATTATAGGTGTATTTCAATTTTGTCAGCGCCAGCAAAATTACTTGAGCAAATAATATATCAACAACTTTATTCCCATGTAGAAAATAGCATAACTATATGGCAACATGGATTTATTAACAAGAAATCGGTTAATACGAACCTACTACAATTTACAAACGAAATTTACAGAGTGTTTGAAAACAGAAACCAATTGGATGTAATTTTCACAAATTTCGCAAAGGCATTCGACAAAGTTGATCATGACTTACTATTGCTTAAGCTAAGCCATTTTGGGATAAATCACAAAATATTTAAAACTTATTTACAAAATAGAAAATTCTTTGTTACATATATGGGCCACAATTCTAATTTATGTGATGTGAACTCTGGAGTTCCTCAGGGCTCAAATCTCGGTCCTCTTCTCTTTCTGCTTTTTATTAATGATTTACCAAATGTTCTAAAAGAGTCGGCTTGTGTACTATTTGCTGATGATCTTAAAATATACAAAGAAGTTTTAACAGTTAGGGACTGTGTTGGATTACAAAGGGACATAAACAGAATAGTACAGTGGAGTTTAGTGAATAAATTGCCTTTCAATACAAAAAAATGTAACGTAATAACCTTTACTCATAAAAGAAATTTGATATTATTTGATTATATTATGCAAACAGAAAGTCTTAAAAGAAATTATGAAGTAAAAGATTTAGGAGTAAGCTATGATTCGACTTTGTCTTTTGCACAGCACTTTGAAGAAGTCTGTAGTAGGGGCAATAGGGCATTAGGCTTTGTAATGAGAAATACACAATGTTTTTCAAATTTAAATGCAATCAAAATTTTATTTTTCACAATTGTGCAACCAATTTTGGAATATGCCTCTATTATTTGGCAATCACAGCCAGCCGTATACCTAATTAGAATAGAAAAAATTCAAAATAAATTTTTAAGATATCTTTATTACAAAAAACATAATATTTGGCCGGATTATACAGTAACGAGAACTACCGATTTAAGAAAATTATTTAAAATTAATCATCTATCCTTGAGAAGAAATATAAATTTATTATCATTTTTACACAAAGTAATTAATGGAGCTATTTATGATCCCTATATTTTAAATTTAATTAATTTAAATGTTCCAAGATGTGGAATCAGATCTCCTCAGCTATTCAGAATAACCTCCTCTACGTTAACCTGTACAGCCCGCTCTCCCATATCTTCTATGCTTAGAACCGCAAATGAAATCAGCGTTTTAACTGACTTAGATTTTTCATTGGGTCATACGCAATTTAAAAATAAAGTTTTAAAATTTTACTTAGAACAGTTCTCATAAATGTGTACCTGCTTGTTCTCCTTAATTTATCTTTGTACAGTCGATAATATATATAAAACTTTTACTATTTAATTTTGTAAATTTCATGTAATTAGGCTAAATGCCTGTTTGAAATTAAATAAATAAATAACTTATTTTAGCCTTATAAATGTTTTATATTCTGTTCAGACGATGTAACTTTAATATTCGTCCCGTTTATGCATAAATCCGTTAGATTTCCAAACTGGCATGTATATGTACTTTTACACACGCTACTGAGGTTCTTTTATTTTTAAACCTGTAGTGGCTCCAAGCAAAGGTTCCTCTATGAAGCTTAAGGCTGCGACATTTGATCCAGCGGTTTTGCAACAAAGCAAGTATTCAATACATTGTACATAGATGGCAATACCTGTACCTGTAGCTCGTATAACAATTTTATTTTTAAGCGTACTTGTTTTTATATCCAGGTTGCCAAATCTAGGTAGACAGATACCAATAAATGTTTTAGAAGAATAATATATTTTGCGATATCCAGTTTCAATTTAATAATTGCACTGTTACATGAAAAATTAATCTGTCAAATGAGTAGTAAGTAGGTTAAATGTAACAAGAAGAAAAAAAAAACATTAAATTTTACTTTAGAATAATATTTCAACATTTATTCACATTATTGGTATATTGTATTCACTTGTAAACTATATTTGACGGTCATAATAATAATTTTAATCCTAAAGAACCGGGTCAATTGAACTTTTCCACATCGCAATTTTTGGGTTGGAGTGAAAGGTATTTTATGGTTGGGTAGAAATTTTATTAC